CTGCCCGCCAGGAAAGGGCCCGCAGCCCCGCCGGAGCCCCAAGGTCGTTCCTAACTTCGGAACTAACTTCTTTCAGGATCCTTTTTAGCACGAGCGAAACGACCCGAAAGGGAGCTGGGGACGAGTCTCTTTAACCAAACAGTAAGCGACAGGGCAAGAGGGAATGGGCTCAAGCTGCCCAGGGCAGGGTCAGGCTGGCTCTGAGGAAGGATTTCTGTGCAGAAGGGGCTGTTGGGCGTTGGAATGGGCTGCCCAGGGCAGGGGGGGGGAGTCCCCGGGATCCCTGGAGGGGTTGAAGAGTCGGGTCCAACCAAGACAGTTCTGTAATTCTGTGACAGCATCGCAGAATCCAGCTTGACAAGTAACACTTGTGAAAGAGTGAGTGGTGCCACTAAATCAGTGAAACTAATGTGCTTAAAAGTTGATTGTCTTTCTGTTTGTTCGGGCTATTTCCCCTCTGTAGATGTGGTGTCTTTTTTGTGGCATCAGTATGTATTTTTTAAGTCGTCTGCGATAGAGATGAATAAATATTGAACTGGTACAAATAACAGACCTTTCCAGAGCAGTGATTTGTGTCGCTTTGTGGCTCTGGAGCAGGACCCGCAGCGCTGAACACAGCCGTGGCCGGGGAGCAGCTCGAGCAGGGCCGCTGCGCCGGCAGGGACACACCACGCGCCAGAGGTGAGCGTGGCACCAGCTGTGCCCAAGCTCTGAACAGGGTGGCAGAGTTGGGGTGACAACAGGCTCCATTAACAGCCCCAGACAAGACAAGGTGGTGAACCAGGTCCGGGGTCCATCCAAGAAGCCCCATCGAAAGCAGCAGTTCCAGAGACTGGGCTGCTGGGAAGACTACGGTGCAGGTCTGAGGTCCGTCCAGTAGCCTGGCCTGGGACCAGAGACTGTGGGTCAAGGCTTTTCTCTAGTGTGCACTTGTTCTTTGCCACTGAACAATAATTTGTGGTCTTGGGCAGGGGCTGTGGGTGGGGGGTCCCACCTGAGGTTGTTCAGGGCAGGTAAGAACCCAGATGCTGCTTTTACTTCCCACAGTTGCATGGGAGTGTTGACTGACTTCTGTGTGCTGTGCATCATCAAGAAAAAGCATCCTTTGGAAGGCTGCTGACCTTTTTCTTTACAAAAAATGGGATTTCTGATTGTTTCTATGGTAGACTGGAAACATACAGGGCTGGTGGGCTGAAATCCCCTTTTGTTTTTTATGTTACAAGACATGGGTTCACCCAGGGTACTCGATGCTCCAGATGATCAGCCTTACCATTCTTAGGGGCTGAGTTTTATCCACCAGTGATTGTCTGTGTATCTGTTATTCAAAATGGTAGTGCTTTTGCAGTTGTGCAGTCCTTAGGAATCTCCCATCCAGCTCATGGATTTACTTCAGGGTTTTTTGGGTGGATTTTTCTGATGTATTCTTGAACCTTTAAAGATTATTTCTCCCATTTTCCTCATTTCAAGTGATACATAACTTGTAGCTTACATTTTTGGCTGACTTGAGGAGTGACTGGAGAAACTGATGAATATATATCCCTTATTCACTCTCACAGCCATGTATACCTCTAAAACTTTAGCTTTCCTTAGTCTGGTAATACTATTAATGCAAGAAATTGATTTAAGGTCAAAATGTCCCTGTAATGCTGCACCAGAGACAGGAAAGGCAAAAATATAAACGTTGAATGTTGTTAGCAGATACATAAATCCACATCTGTTATCCACACACATCAAACCCACTGACCCCAAACACCAGCTAAAGCATCAAGGCCCTGGAGTTAGACAAAATAACAATCTAAACTTGTTTTAGTCTACCTAGTTTAAATTGTAAAAATATTTATCAAGTGGAAATAATTGATTTAAAAGCTGTCAGAATATTTACCAGGCTATAAACCTGTCAGCATAAATTGTACTTTAACACCTACCGTTTCCAGTTGGGTTTCTTGGTGGTTTCTGACTGTAAGAGAGGCATCATTAACAGCACTGGGGAGCATCTGGGCCTCTGTTGAATTCCTCACCCATCTGCTGGTCTTCTGGTTTGAAAGAGCAGAGGACATAAATGCCATGACAAATCTTTGGCTTTCTGTTACAGGGAAATGAGAACATCAGAATGATGTCAATGCACGTTCACCAAAGTTTCATCTCTGAAAGAAAGCAGATACTTGATACTAGCAAAACACCCCAAGCCTTTGGCCCTTGAATTTTGTTTGATTTTTCAGGAAAAGTTCTGACTGCTGGGCAGTTGGGCTTTGCATCATGTTTTCTTAGAAAACAACCACCTGACCCAAGACTTTTAAACACTAGACAACTGCAAAAACAGTTGGACCAGAGAAAATTTAAATGGCACTTCACCCTCTCTGTGCATTTGGTAGAAGTAAACTTTCCTTTTGCAGCCTGCTTTTCTTTAACACTAAACCATGGATTGCTCCACACTTAACTGTTTTTCCAGTGCAGTACTTCTGAGGTACAGAAAAGCCTGACAGTGTAATTACAATGTATTTACTCCCAACTATGGCAAAACTAAGATTTTACTCATGACCCAGACAGGTTTTATCTGTTCCTTGACTTATTCTTTAAACCTTCTCAGAGAGAGATGGCAGTATTTTATTAAATATTCAAGGACTTTTTCTTTACTAAGTTGTTCCCAGTTCTGGTAGTGCACTCCAGCATGAAAGTGTCTTGAAGGAGTCCCAACTGTAGAAAGAGCTGATGGGAAATCAGGATCTGAAGGGAATGACTCTTTCTACAGTGGTGTGGTAATAGCTGGAGATTAAAAGTATATTAAGATACTGCTTCTGAAATTACTTCACTGGATATTTTTATTTTAAAAGGTACCACAATTAGACTTAAGCCTGTTTGCCAACATCATGGATGGAATAATGTTTTAAACAGTATTAGGTAGCTGTGGGATTAGACTATGTTTATAGAAAAAAAATGGCTTGAGCTTAAGTTAACTATACTTATATTTTATTTCATGGTTCATATGTGTTGCAGAACCAAGGGTCAGCACAGTTTATATCTGACGTTCCAGGGTATCAGTAGTCTGGTCTCATTTATATGGCGGGTTGTCATTCAGTATATAGAGCCAGCCAGGACTGCAGGACTGTGGAAGGTGCTGATCTTGCCAGAAAGATCACTTCATTACAGTAAAAAAAAATAATTTTATCCTTTCCAGACTTTCTACTGTCAAGGAGAAAAGTAAAAATGTAGTGCTAAGAACCTAAAATTTGTTTTCTAAACCCTTTCCAACAAAGTCTTACTGTGATGTTATCGATCCTTTTTAAAATTCTTGTTTCCGAAACAGTTGCTTTCAACAAAGAACTTCAGAGATGAGTTAAAATAATGTTAGTGGTGCAGTGTTGTTCTTGGCATGTTCTTGAAGTTACTTGCAACTCCAAAAATGGTGAGTGTTGTCTTTTTCATTGTTAGGTCCAGCGTATTGGGACAGCTCTCTGTATACAGTAAGACAAAGAAGGAAAATGTAATTGAACGTCCCTACGTGTCATGTAGTTCTGCTCCTGCCTGCACTGTGTTTTCATTTAATGCTTGTAGAGACAAGATTTTAGATGTACGCATCCACTGAGTGTGTAGGTAATTCTGATAAACGGTGCAAAAGCCTATAAAGATGTTCTATGCGTTTAGTGACATGAAGAGCATATTGGGTGGATACAGGAAAGAGTTTCAGTAACAAATGCAGGGAACCTTAGTAAGCTGCTGAACATAAGGAAAATGTCTATGTTAAAAATGGACAAGAAGTGGTGTCTGGAGCCTCTCTTGCTGTGGAGCTGATGGGAAGCCACTGGGATTAACAAAAGACTTTACCTAACTGCAACTTGTTTTTCATCCTGAGTGATATTACTAATTATATTATGGTCTTGTCTTGGCATAAACTATTTAAAGGGAAGAAACAACATGTTATGTAGTCTGCAGAGGAAACATCTGCAGCACTTTGAATAACCAAGTGTTGTATTTGACATTTCTTAGCTATTCAGCATCTGGAACAGTTTTAAGGCTCTTATACAGTAATTAGAAAAGAGAAATCTACTGCTTTCAACTTTTATTTAGTGATGCCTATGGGGTAATCTTTCTTTTTTATGAACAGATTTGGGAGTAAATGGAGGGGGAAAATTGGAAATTCACAAAGGGCCAAGTGAGACCAGAATTTGGCTTGTAGTGCTTCAGTCAATGTTACTCCTGGCTTTGTTTCTCTAGCTGGCAAATTTGCCAGCAGTTCCTGTGCAGACTGGAGGGAGGAGGTGTGGTCTGAGCCTCTGCTACAAGATTTTGACTCCCATTAAGAGTACGTATCTAAATTACCTTGAGAATTATTTTCTTTCTAAAACATTGATGCTATCTTAATTTCTGCTGTAAATTAAACTGTAGATTCTTGGGATAAACATGTATTATTTAGATTTAGCCTTCTTAGAGCACTTTTTCTCCTGGTTATTCCTAAATACCAGAGATTACTAAATCTGTGTGCAAAGTGAGGGAATAGTGGTACAGTGACTGTAAGGAGCAGGTTCAAGGAGGGTGATGTAAGCTTCAGCCCTGGAGCTGAGACCCATTTTGTGTCCTTCTGGTCATTCCCATGACATCTAGAACCTGAAATCCCTGGAAAAACAGAATCAGTTTCCTTATGGGCAAGCTGGACATCTTCATGTACAGTCCTCCAAAATGGCATGCTGGACAGAGTGCTGCAGAGTTAGATGACAAGGAGAACGTGGGTGTCTCCTACTCCTTGTTATTCTGAGGTTTTATGCACTTTGCTGAGGATTCACAGCCCCGGCCCTTCGCCTGAAAGGAGTTGTGAGTATGAGTTTCTGGTCTGGTGGTTTGGGCTCTGCCAGCAAGCAGGGAGTGTGTGTCCTGTTCACTGCTTGCTGAGACTCTTCATGTGCTTTCAGTGAACCACAGCAATCTTAAGACTTTCTTTTCCTGTTGAGCTCAGCAAATCTCGAACTCCTTTCACAGCAGTACAACTGTAGCAGAAGGAGTGGGAAATGTCACTGTGCTTTGGCTAACGTACAGCGCCAATGGTTAGCCAGGTCTCACTCCTGGGGGGCAGAAAGTGCAGCAAGGCCTCAGGGAAGGGAAGAAGTAGACGTGGGTCTCCTACCTGCCAGGTAAGCATGCAGGCTGTGGAACTGGTTGTCTTGAGGAAGGCATGACACACTGTCCACAGCCTTTTATTTCCTCACAGCTGTGTTAAAAATGGCAGCATTGCCGTTTGGAGACAGCCCAGCCTGGTGGGTCCCCAGCAGGTGTGTCTACAGCACTTGTGATGGGAGGGCTGAAGTGGAAGAGTGGCATCTGGGATGTGGGTCTTGATCTGGCATGGGTGTGAAAGGAGCACCAAACTGTTGAATCATTTTTGGATTGGGAATCTTCTGGGCTTTTATGTGCTTTTCAGTTTTGTATGAAAAATTCAGGTGGTCTCTTCATGTTTGTCTGAAAGAGATTTACCAAACCCCGTGCATGAAGGCAGTAGCAGGTATGGGAATGGCACACTGGAATCTGTGTATTCTTTTGTTCATAGAATACATCTGGAAATGCTGAAGCTGTTATCCATCAGGAAAGTGTTTCATGACAATCATGTTTTATTCCATTGGCATTTTAATTTTCACTCAGCTGCTTTTTTGCAGACAATTGAGATGTCAGCCTGAGTTTCTAATGATGGGTTGTGAGACATAGTCATATGGGAAAACAAAGAGAACTGAAATCTGTGAAACGAATTGCCCCACCCTTTTTCACCACCCTTGTGTGAAATATTGTCAAGCTAAACAGACTAAAGAGGACTTAAATACTGAGCTGTTCATACAAAAAATAGTATGTGTGGTTTGTGCAGGAAGACAAAATAATTATTATTTCATGTATAATTGTTGAATTAATCCTGTAATGGTTGTTGCTGCTGTCTAACGAAGGGGAAGTTGGTATGTAAGTTGTGCATATATGGAATCTTAGTTATAGTTTAGGCAATCTGAGTCTCTGAAAAGGGAGTGAGTAACTGATGTGCCTGAATTCACACTACAGGTTGCTGCTCAGTGGTTTGGTGTGTTACTGTCTCTGAAAAACATATCTCTTTTTATTTCTGTCAGATTTATTTTTATTTCTGCTGAGTCGTTTGGGTGATCATGCTCTCCAAATTACTGAAAAGTGAATATGCTCAGACATTTTCTTGACTTGTTAGCTGCATGTATAATTAATTACAAACTACCTTGTCTCATTCCTTTGCCCACTCTACCATAAATGTCATCCATGTTCAAGGCAACAAATTTATCCAGTGAAAAAAAAAATTGCATACCTGTGAAAGGGAATGCGATTGTGGGGTTTTTTTGTTTTCATTTTATATTCATCTGGCAAAGCTTACTAAATTTTCAAATTCATGTTTCATAAAAGCACAGAAGCGATTTGGACAGGTGCTGCTTAGGCTGCGAGCAGCCCGTCCTGCAGCTCTCTGTGCTGGTGCAGAGCCCTCACCCCTGCTGCTCCTTGGAAAAGGTGCCCACGCGAGGTGGCAAATGTTTGAAGAATGTTTGAAGCACATGAAGAGTCAGCGCTGAGAGGTGCTGATGCGCTGGTGAGATGTTTTCAATTGTTTCTGGGATAAACTGCCTAAGAGGGAGGCTGCTGGAGCTAGCAGCCACGGACCAGCTTCTGGAACATCTCTGTGGACTGCGGCTTATTCTGCTTTAGCGCAGCTCTATACAAACCGGATCCCTGGTGTGAGAAGCCTGCTGGAAGGAGCTCTGGGCAGCAGCGGCTCGGTGGCCAGCTCGCTGCTGTAGCAGCCACCAGTCTCTGTGCAGACTGCCCAGTCCCTGGAGGGGACTGCGGGGCGGCAAGGCAGGGACAGGGTGAAGGGGAGGTAAGGCTGAGGCGAGGCAAGGCCTGGGCTGCAGCCCGCGGTGTGCCTCTGGGCAGCCGCTGCAGGTGGCACAGGTGAGGCAGTTCCTGGCAGCGGAGCAGCTGCGGTGGCTTGGGGATCAGCCAGTCTCGAGTCCTGGCCCCTCTGCAGGTCTGGTGGCCACGGGCAAGCTGAGAGCCCTCGGTGGTGCCCCAGGCGGCCGCTGTTGCCATGTCGCTGAGCTGAGCGGACCCTCTCCCTCCGCACTTAGCTGGAGGGGCTCCCCCTGCTTCCTAACAGTAAACTCCTTTCAAAACTCAACTCTGCTCTGCACTTAGGCAAGAAAACGATAGTTCAGAGCCTCAGCTGACATCCCCCCTCTTCACTCTTCTGAGCGTTGCGTTGCTGTTTGGTGAATGCGTTGTTACCCTGGCTTGTTGCTTGGAAACTTTTGTGTGGATTGTCCCTGCGCCCAAACATGAATGCTCTGGGTATGTGTGCTACGTACTGTGAAAACATTTTTGAAACGTGAATTTTTGGACCTCCTCATGCTATCCCTCCTTGCTCCTGCTTTGGTTCTAGTGGGGATTTTTATTTCAGCACTAAAATAAAGCTGTTTGGCTTGTTCCATAGCCTTTGAGTCCATTGTCTGACTGTACATCACGATGGCAGAGCAAAAGCAGAATTCAAAGGCAGTGGAAGAAGAGGAGGTGAAGGAAGATGATAAAGAAGAAGCGACAGACTTGAGCACAATTTGCTCTGAAAGCACTTTTGAAACGGAAAACCTAGAGGGGCTTGGGAGTGGTGGACATCTGACCCCAGAAGGTGAAAGCAGCAGGCTCCTCCCATCTGAAAAACCTTCCGTGGAACTGGGTGGCTCCCATACTGTGACCTGCACCCTCACAGTCTCACTAGCTCTCCCTGCCCTGCCTACAAGTAAGTACCTGAAACAGGTTTTCCTAAGAACCCTTTTTTTACAACTTCATAGGTTTGTGTGGCAGAGTCCTGAATGGCTTAAGGAGTGGGACAGGGGAGCCTTTTATCACTGGGTGATTGTCACTCGTGACTGAAAACCTTTCCTGACTGTTGATTCCTCAGTAGTCACAGTTATTCAAGTTGATAATCTGAGCTGATGCTTATTAATCAGTCACTGTCTAATAATGAAAATAAAGGTGGGTTTTAGCATATATATTCAACTTGGTTAACTATGATTTTGGGTAGTTTAAAAGTGGTATTGTCATTTTAGGAGAAGGTAGCAGCTGTTCAACAGATGAGGTATGATTCTGCTGTGTCGTACGGGTGTTTGGGTATGTCAGCCTTCCCCTGAACAGTGTGGAACTCTTCTTTATGGAATTTCTCTGAGTAGCAGGACATACGTGCCTTGGGAATGGCAATCACTGGCTGTCATGCTGCAGGAAGCAAAGATGAAGGGGGGGTGTTCCAGGAACTTTATGGACAATTACGGTAGTTAAACCTGGGTAAGAACTGCAGGGTTAGGCACTGGGATAAGAGTTTCATGTTCACCAGTCATCCGTGTTCAATCAGACATTTTTCTGTTGCCTTACCGCTTGTTGCTGTTTGGTTATTGCAGAGAGCATTAATTACCTTCCAAATATTTCTAATATTCTCTCTAGGACAAAATCAGGAGAAAGCCAATCCCCCTGATATGCAAGGAAAGAGAATTCAAGTTGTTGAATCAGGTTCTATTCTAAGAATGCAACGTTGCTATCACATTGAGTACTTCCTTCTACCAGATGACCTCATACCTAGAAAAATGGATTTGGTGTTGTTTGGGGTGGACGCAAAACTATTTACAGAATCTAATTCTGAGGTAAAAGATATAATAAACCTAAGTAATCCAAAATATATATATAAGGTGGGATAATGTTTTCAGATATGGAGTGATGTAATTGCATATTGTTTTAACAGCTGCTTAGGCCTTATCCGCACACACAGATAAAGAACAAGAATCAGGGATAGAACTTGACTTGGCTAGTCCAGATCATCCGTAACTTCTTACATTTATAGTAGGAGGCGTGGATTTCAGAGTATTTTATTTTCCTGTAGATTATCAGTTTACTTGAGATTATAGCTTTTATCTTTCAAGTACCATGATAATAACAGAATAATTTGAAGACAACTATCCGTTTTATTACCAATGAAATAAAAAATGAAATTTATGCCTCTCATCTTTGTGAGAAGAAAAAGATTTTTAAGGTACTTGAAAACTTTTGAAAATTTTGTTTTGCTTAGACTCCCATCTAACTGAATCCTGCACGTTCAAATCCAGGAATATAAAAATTAGATATATTGTTTTGAATACACCTTGGTTTGTTGAGAAATTATTTCTAAAAAATCGATGCTATAATAATTTTCATTTTGATAGACTGTTGGTTTTAAAGCAGCCTGTATACTCTCAGGTTTTGTCTTCGCACAACAATGTTTCTAATGGCCCTCTTTGATTGCTTTGCACTTCTGAATATCAACTTGATGTCTTTGTTCAAAAAAATGCACTTGCAAAGTTGCTGATTGAAATGGTGTTATGTTAGCAACTCTGATGAGTGCTATGTTCTTACAGTTTACCAGCACATATAAGTGAAGTTGAGTGCTGGTCCTTTAATTTTATAAATAGCAATTCAGCATTTTAAAGTGCATATCTTTGCTTTTAGAGTATTCTGTAAAGTCTTCAGTCCATGATCTCATGCTGAGCAATAGTTTAATTTATCTCAGGTCTTTTAATTTATCTCAGGTCTTCATTTCAGATCTTGACTTGATAAGACTATTTTGTCTGAATCCAACAAAATATGCTGCTCTGGCATAGGAAGGGGGGTGGGGAGTGTCATGTAAGACCCAGCACAAGCTGGAGAAATAAGAAATGTACAGTTTGCAAGGAGTGCTGATAGTGGTCAGCATGTGAATACAAGTTCTTCAGCTCCTGTAAAGATTTTCATCTTTTGTTTTAATAGGCTGTTACACCATGGTTTGAAAATGACAAGATGTGGATATCATGGAATCATAGTGTTGATATCAATGTCACTAATGAATATATAATAAAACTAAGAGATCACAAAATAATTTTAAAAATCTGGGATACCAAGAACAAAGTTCCCTCAAAAGTAAGGCATAGTAAACCAACAATTGCTTCTTCACTAGAAGGGGATGCAGAGGATGTTGGTAAGTCTAATGCAAACAGACATGTTTTAAAACATATGGAAATTGTGACTGCAGCTATTGATAAGTTATTGTTGAGATTATTCAACATTCATATGTTATTCCCACTGAAATAACTTCCACTTGTTGTTTTAATGAATGCATGAGTCAGTCTGAAAGTTCTAATGGCAGAAAAATATAATTGGGCCTATAATCTGAAAACTAGAGAGTTATTTGATGCTGTAGGGTAGTAGTGGTAGTAATGAATGTATTCCTTTTTCAAAGATGGATTTTTCTTTTTATTTTCCTGAGAAGAAGGAAAACTTGTACAGCCACATTTTTATTTTGTGCATCTTTCCATTTCATCTTCTCCCCCTTGTCTCCCAACCACATAACTTGAATCTATCCATAAATTTTGGCCACACTAGCTTGAAGGTCAGTGGTTTCAAAGAGAGTTATAATATATGGTTAATTTTTACTAGTTGAGTTAATTTAATTAGAGGAGAGAGACCTTGTTAGGGCTGTTATAGACATGTATGAAGTGAGATATTCGTCCTTAATAAATACCAGAGAACTAAGCATGAGATGAAGCCTATAGGAAATGGGGTATCCTTTGTTCTGATATCCTGAAACTACTGTTAAAATAAATTTTACTATTAAAATATGCATAATTTGTTGATATAATACTGTGATTGTTCTCTCCCATGTGTTTCAGTGGATAGAGATTTGGTGAGGTTATAAAAATCTAAAATGCTATTTAATAAAGGGTTGGCTTTCTTTTGATTGAACTGATACCAATAAATCAAATGTTTGCTCAGATATGGTGGGGTTTATAGCAAATAGGCTTTGCAATTGATGGAAATTTCTGACAGCATTTTGTTTTGCTCTTTAAGTAGGTTGAGCATTTGTTTAGCTGTTGTTGAAGAATGGAGGCTTGTTTGTAGTTCAGTATTTTCTCAAGAGCAGCTGTACATTTTAGCCACAGAATACAAAGGTTTAAAATCTTTTCGTCCCAAAGTTGTATGCTTTCAGAGAAGTCTGTATGGCAAAGTCCCCTCAGCTCACTGCCAGGGCTGTTTGCCTTCACTGCAGGCTCGGTATTCTGCGAGTTCCCACTAGCCTCAGCTACCCCAATATTTTCTTCTGAATATGCATTGTCGTGCAGTACACAGGGAGAACATTTTATGTTAGATTCTTCTGTGGACTTTGAGGTAAATCTCAGTAACTGGTGATTTTCATCTCCAGACAAACAGAATTGAAGTCTATGAGTGGCTTCTTATAGATATTAGGAAAAAAGGAAGTGCCATAGGAAGGTCATTGCTCAAAATTTGAGTGGCCCAAACAGACTAAGTAATACATTCTAAACCAGGGCGTTTATTTTATTTTAACTTTTTTCCTGATAGGTGCGGTAAAACACACAGTTCTATTGCAGAGAAAATTCTTTGAAGAGAGTCAGCCAGCACCCTGCCGTACAAAAATCAAAGCAGCAAAGGAATCCAAGGCACAGGAGGAGTCTTCAGCCCTTCCTGTTGAAGGTATAACAGTATGGGAACTGGAAGTGGCTTATGGGTGAAAAGGGAGGGGGAGTGCAATGACCCCTTGACTGATGGGCAATCAGGAACAGGACTGGTGAATCTGCTGAGGGAACAAGGTGTTGGGGGAAGACTGAAGGTATAGTTAGAACAAGTTTTTAACAGCTTTGGAATAGAAATGGGACAGAAAAGGGATTTAGCTGACTCACAGAAAGTTTTCAAGGGATACTATAAAAAAAGCATCAGGCTTTTCTGCTGCTTCTGTTTTTAAGTGATTGCATTAACATCTAGAGCCATGACTATAACATAGGTTCCCAGATTCTTGCTGTTTCTCTGCTGTTGGCAGAGAATCTAGTAGCAAAATGTCAAGTTTCCTTTGAATTGGTAGTTCATGGAGAAGTATGAAAGTTTATTCCTGACACTGGTGAGATCCCAGCTGTATGCAGTTTTGTAGTTTGACCTTGCCTTGTGCCAGTAGAGAAACTGCTGCAATACTGCTGCAGGTAACAACAAAATCTGGCCTTGTGTCAAGTTCTTCATCTAGGGTCAGTGTTATTTGTAGCCACATCTTCTTAAACCCTGCTGTTGCTTTCCTTATCCCTTCTGGAGCCCTGTTCATGCCTGCTGACCAGACAGCTGGGATTTCTCTGCACCTGGGTGCTGCTGTGCCCAGAAAGCACCTGGTACCGTGTTACAGTGCCTGGCTGGAGACCAGGGGGGTTGAGAGCTCACAACAGCAACTGAAGTCAAGAGAAAATCAATGAAAACTTAATTAATGAAAGTTAGAATACATTTATAATGCTGAGAGTTCTGAAAAAAATTAGGTCCTTGGCTTTCCAGCTGGGCTACCAAGTTTAGTGGAAACCTTTTTCTTATTTTTTTTGTACTTAAATTTTCAGTTTCCACAATGAAGAAAATAGAGAAATTACTAAAGTTGAGAAAGCAAAAAGATACTTTAGCAATGAGTGTTACAGAACTCTCTAGGAGTACTTCAGTAATTTTTTTGCTACACCAGGATTACTCTTTGGGTAGTTTGTAAGAAGTGACACCAACACCCGCACTGTGCAGCAAGGAAAAACCTTACTTTTAAAATATTTTATTGAACAGCACAATGAACAACAGTGTGCTACCTGGGACAGAGGAAAAATGTGTTTAATCGTTATCTGAGGTCTTGGATACATATATGTACCAAAGGGCTGAATTCAGGAGGCACAGATCATTTATTTTGAAAATTTCTGCTTTTAGGCAGTAGGCCTTGCAATTTAATAGTTGTTTTCGTAGAATGTTTTTAGGAACAAAAAAATGTCTAAAAAGTACTGGAAATTAATTATTATGAAACTATATATATTCTGACTTCAGTTATCTTGTGAAAATGCAAACAAACTGTTTGGTTTTTTTTCCCCTAATTTTAGATTTTTATGATGAAAATGAAACTAACAACTAGGTTGTCCCTCTGTGTTATGTCTGTGATTTTGTTAGATCTACAAACAAAAATGGACTTGCCAAATATTTAGATAGAATAGTCCAAAGGGAAACCTTGTTACTGCAGTAAGGTACTGGGGATTCAGCAGATAATGTGATTTCCTCCTATATTAGTATCTGATGCAGGGCTGCTTACAGTATGTTGGGGAGCACTGTGTCACCACCTTCAGTTGGTTATTTTTAAATAATTTTTTTTGTTTATTTTTTCTAATGACTAATGACATGCGCCGTCAAAGTAGGAGTAGATTAATTCCTGGAGTAATTAGGCTGGCAGAATACATCTGTATTTTGGTAGTAGTGCCATCTAGTGATGGGCCCAGAGGGGATCGATGGACCAAACATTTAAGTCTGCAAAGGTAGAAAGTGTGTCCAAGGAGATAAAGGACAGGAACGTGGCTTCTGATTCAGATGAACAGAAAAATGCCAGCGTTTTGTCTACATGCTAACCCATTATGTGTTAAGAAAGAAAGGAATGTCCTGAAGATCTCTTTATATTTCTTTTAATTGACTTCGAAGAACTATGTGCACTATTGAGTGTACCAGTCCTTGTGCTCTGTGAAACAAGAAGTTTCTCAGTATCCTGTTTATGGCCAGGTAAAAACCTAATATTGCATTGCTCCATCTTTGCTTACTTCCAGATAATGCCAAATTTTGTTCTTTATTGTGTGGAATATATTCAGCTATTCAAGTGCAAATTCTTCTTACCATTCATGCAATGTTGATTTGCTCTAATCTCACTGTAATTAAGACCTACATCTCACTGCAATTAAGGCTGATACATTGTGAGGCTAAGTGTTGAGTAATTAACACTGAAATCTGTGACTGTAGAGTGTTTTTCTGTAATAAAATTACATTTGAAGACAGTTAGGTGTAGTATACCACACTTCTGGCATATATAAACCATTGACTAGATATCTGGACATTTCTACACATTGTGTAAGAGATCTGGACACTGGTAACATTCTTTTTTTTTTTTTTTTTTCTTGAGTATTCACTAGAATAGAAATTGGAACAGTTTATTAAAATAAATAAGCAAAAGTAAGGTATTATTTCTTATGTAAAGTCTTTCATGCATTAAGATATGTTACTGACATCAGTACCTACTTAAGTACAGACAGGATATTCAGCACTAACAAAATACTATTTGGATGTTCTCATCCCATTTTAATTACTTGTTAATTCCTATTTTTGTTTTAAACTGCAGCATGATAGTTACCATGGAACTTATCTTTCTAGGAAATAAAGTATGACTTCATAATATTTTAGTTTCTCTGCATGATCTCTCAAAGTCCCTTAAAAAATAGTTTATATTATGTATATTAGGCTTATTCAAACTCATTATTTACATGGAGACAAAGATTAAATGTATTTGAGTTACAAATACAGCTTGCGTAAGACTTCTCATGAGATTTTCCTAGAGCTTTATGGATCCATTTTCTTAGTCTTGTTGGAGTTATCAAAACATACAAATACTTAATAACAAGTGTAAAACCTGTTTTAATTCAGCAGAAGCAGCTGATCTGAATGGACCAGCAACATCTATTTCTCGTTTGCCCCATCCATCAAGGACAGATGACTTAGATAGAGTGAGGTAAGAATGTTGCACTTGCTTTGGGAAATGTTCATGTCTTAAAAATACAGTTACATATATGTAATTGTTGTTCAGTATGTATGGTTTTTTAAAATATTTTATAATTATACTCGTTAACTACTGCTTTTCTCATCCATGCCTACTGATTATAGGAAAGAACCAAAAGCATTAAGATCCCCTTTAATACATCAAGCTTGCTAATAGAATATTTGGGGTGAAGTAGCTGTTTATGAAATTATTACATAAAATAACAAACTGTGCATGTTTTTTCTTCTTGTTCACTTGTACCTTGTGACTTCACATAATTTGTGGGATAAGATAGTGTCAGTGAGAGGAGATGGAGGGGAAACTAGGAGTGACTCTGCCGCTAGTTAGTTGCTCAGCTGAAAATCTTAGAAAGTGGCAAAAGAGTGGTGGCATTCAGGGTGCCTCATTCATTTTGAAAGGTTGAAGGTAGTGTCAACAACAGTTGCTAGCAGAGCAGGCTTTGCTGGCTGATGAGCTCAATGGATCAGCTCTATAACTCTGAGTTTGTATTGGGTCAAATTATCATGAGGTAATTTTCTAAAGCAATTAAGTTAATCCTGAGTTTTTACTGCTGTAGTAGCATAGTTCCCTATTTGTTCTGTTCTGCTTTTAGGAACAGTTATTCCCACTTTTGGTTTAATAACTCATTGGTTTTAATAGTTTTCTGTGGTAAATTTCTAACAATTAGCATGTAACTAAAACTGTAGAAAAGATTAGAGGGTTCAGGACTTGAGAAACTATAACATTTTAGAAGATTCATATTTTCTTGGGTATTATTCATAATGGAAAACTTGAAATAGAAATGAATCATGAATAGGGTGTATCTCAAATACATCATCCAGAATGTCATCTAAAAAATATAAACAATTAAATGACTTTCCAAGGTTCCCATTTTGTTTCTAAAAACTTAATTGGTGATAGTACAAGATAATGAATCCACTCCTGTATTCAATGATGTACTTGCTAATTTTATGCTGTTATGTAAGTTTAAGAATGTCTCCTAGGCAAGATTTAGTCAGATTGTTACTCTGCTTAAAACATAATGAAGTCAGTGAAAGGACTCCTAATGCCTTCAGCACAAATTTATGAACTCAGCTTTATGGATGAATGTTTCCGAGTATTTTGTACATCGTAAGAACAGTACTATTTCTGATGAGGGCATCTGTAAGTGAGTCTTGCACTTCAAATCATATAGGTTTTATGTTGCAGAAAGAAAAAATGCATTTGTAGAGATGAAGAAAATCAGCAAGAATGTTGAATTGCACATGGAAGCAAAATCTTTATTTCAGATAGTTTTCATTTAAGTACAAAACCATATTTAAAATAACCTATTCTCCCAACATTTAGAAAATCTTGCTTTAAGTTCCTCACCGGTATTCTTTTGAGCTGCTAGAGACTGAATGCTTCTTTAACAAAGGTGCTGTATTGTAAGATTTGAGAGAATCTTGATTTTTAATCAATGCCTTGTTACATAATCTTGCATAATTCTTGGTTTGCTGCCTGTTCTGTTTTTAACAGTCCTCAGTTCCTGGTTTGTAGACTAAATGGATGCTTCCTGTTCATGTTCACCCTATTATAGCCTTTGCTAATCGAGCTATTTCCTTCTGCATTGTGTTTTTGAATAGGAAAGTAAATACCATGTGGTTGCATGATAAAGTAAAATGAGGCCCTCTGAGGCTTCATAACTGCTAGAATCAGTTGGGCTAGCAGGTTTATAACTTACATATCTTGCTTGTGAAAAAACAACCGTTGGAATGGGATTTTGTTTCTTAATGGTTTATGGGAGGAGATACTCAGTGCAAATGTGAGTTGGTGTTGTTGAAACTACGAAGTTTTACTCCAAAAATAGCATTGATGAAATCTGTCTCTGTAACTGAGAATGTGGATTGTTGCTGCTTTGTGTCTCATGAGCACGTCCTTTCTGCTCAAAGATGGGTGTCCACCTTGTGTAAGGTTTAATGTAGAACCCCAGGGCATTACCTTACTTTGGACTTGCACCACATTTTGTAAGCATCTATACTGATGCAGTATAAGGATATCTGAAGGATATTTGTCCAATTTAAGTCTGAAAGTGTAGTTCCTGATGCTGTTGCAGTTCCCTTGCATGCATTTATACTATCTGTCATGACAGTTGATGGAACATGAATATACGAGATCAGTATTTTGAAAAATTAAGAGCATGTGTTTAGTCTTCATGCAGACTTAACTTTCAATACAAATTAATTGGAATAGAAATAATTTTGGTGTAGAAATATTCTAGCAGTTTTCTAAAACCCTCCAAAATCATTACTGGTAACATATTATAGAGGTATTGCAGTCTAATGACACAAGAGCTATGTAAGAATATCAGGATATTAGTTCTTCTAGAGAAATTTACCTGTACAAAGTGAGGCTTGAACAGGATAAAATGAATTAAAGTTACATCCTTACATACATCACTGTTGCTCTTTCATGTACCTGAATGTTCTCGTTCCACCTGTATTGTGGCTGTGGTGGTGTTTCTTTCTAGCTTCAAAGAACTATTATGGTAATGGTCACGCCTTGTGGAGGACTAGTGAGTAACCTGACAAGTAGCCTACGTGTTTACTCTAAAACAAATCTGAGATTCAGGTTATATTTTACCAATTTTACTGGCAAAGTTTTGCTGCTCCTTTGCACACCTGGAAAATCTTTTTTTTGAAGAAGAAGAAGAATCAGTTTTCTTCCCTCATTTTGTGTCAAAAGTCTGCAGCCAGGAAATATGATAGTCAAAATAATTGTATGCTGCATTTCTTCTCCCAGATTGGTTCTGGAAAAACTCTTAATAGTGCTATAAATGCCCACATATGATCTGATATCCTCTGCTTTTTCAATCTGCAGTGGGGAGGTTTCCAACAAATCCACCATGTTACCTCCGTGAACTCCACACTACAGTTTCCTTCATTTATTCCCAACACCTGGAGGTTCCTATATATAGTGATGGTCTCTAGGGTCTCTGACTCTTTGCAGTTGGTTTGGTTTTGGGTTTTTTTGTTAATTGAGGTGAAAAAAACAGACTTATTGTTTTTAGTTTTAGCAGGTCTGGTTTTTTCGTAGCATGATGCTTTACTTATAAAACCACATGTAAACATTTTTATTTAGATTTTTTCATTCCCAGAGCAATTATTTTGACAGCCTGTCATTCACTACTTACTTAATGTTACATATATTAACAATTTTGACTGGGTTTTATAGGAATACAGAGATCTCAGAAAGAAGTATTTTTAATGTTGATCACTTTTAGTGCTGCAAAACCACACAACCAACCTTCTTTCCCCCCACTCCCAACTGTTATTATTATCCTTTTCGAAACATCTCTGAGGATAGGTAGAGTTATTTGGGAAATGTTTGGCTTAGCCTGGGTAATGAATTATATTTAGTGCTATAAACATACATTGCTCCAACCTTCACAGCCACAGTCTTGATTTGTTGCTCGCTGCATGGATGCCTGTCTCAATTAAACTAATGTTTGTGAAGCAGCTGAAGAACTTAGACCTCTGATATTAAAATTCCTGGGAGGAGAAGGAAGAAAGGATGTTTGAAGAATTTAGTGCCAAGGATAAAGGGAAGATGTTGCACATATTAATAAATCTGAGAGGAAACTCTGTAGAATATGATAATCTGGAGACAATACTGAACACCAGAAAGCCTTAAAGCAGTCATTATGAGAAGCTGTGGGGGTAGTAGTCAGGGAGAGTTGGACTTGGTGTCCCAAGCATATAATACTAGTCACATTCAGAGGTGACTAGATGACATGGAGTTCTTGTACTAAAAAAAAAAAAAAAAAAAAAAAAAAGTCATAATACGTATGTAAGAGTAGACTGCATGCATCTGTCTACATATATTGAGCTATAGTTATTTCATTATTAAATATTTTACCTCTCAAAATATCATCAAATGCCTTTATTTTCAAACTGCTATTATAAATCACACCTATAAAGCTAAGCAGAACAATGACCAGGTTTCGTGACTACTGATGTAAAAATTTCTTGGATGGACGCTCTGTTTTCTTGAAGTGCATGTAAAATGCTACCACCAATTCTGTCACCCCACTGTGCGGAATCTTTAGGGCCGAATCTGTTCTTCACAGATAAAACAATTTTGCTGTGGTATGTCTTGTAGTGACGCCCTCCAGGTACAATATGTAACAGTGATCTGAAGACAAGGATGACAAAATCTTTTATTCAGGAGATTTAAAATATGGTGAGGTTCATCTCTGTTAAACAGCCTTTTCTGCTGTTTCTGATTAATATTCATTTTTCAGCAGCAATAATATGTCAAATTTGTAAGGAATGTATGTACTTTAGGGAATAAAATGTGTGATGTCATGTGAAGAACCACTTGCAGCAGTGGCTGGTATTACAAAGTTTGGGAAGCTTGTTAATGCTGAAACTAAGTGAGAGCATTCCTAGCTGAATTTTCCACCTAAGGTGGCAGTTGTTCCTATAACAAACTGTATTAATTCCAGATTTCTAGTCTATCTGTGATCACTTTACAGGGTATACCAAATGTGAACACTAATAGAACAGACGTATTTCTCTTTCCTCAAAAAGCAAAGCAGATGTATAGATAAATCTGTAAGTAAGGTATTGTAGTATGTACTGTAAGATGTTTTACTTTATGCATCTCTTCAGGTACTTGCTTGGTCTCTTATCCAGAAGAGAAGGGCCATGTGTACTGTCAATATCCTTTTTTGTTCTCCTGACATTTTCTGGCAGCTGAGCTCTATTTGACTTGATTTTTATTTTTTTTTAAATTAGTATGGCAGGGATTTATTTTTTTATTTTCTATATTTCTTAAATAACTTCAGATCTTTTTAATGTTTCAAAGTATGATATTTGCAAAAAACAGATTTCTGGACAAGGCCAAACTTCGGAAGCAGAAAGCAGTTACTGGTCCTCTAGTTAATTCAACTTCAAAAGAAGCTGAGAAAACAAATGGTAATGTGCGAATTCTGACATATGGAGCAGACAAAACAGCCACCACAAATGGTAAGTTCTAGATGGAACTATGGACTAGATTTGAAAAGGTAGGCATGGAATTCTATTTATCTTCATTTTCTTTTTTGTTTTTTAAAGAATTCAAGGTTAAAACAAAGAAAAAAAAGTTATGTATCCTGTGCTCTAGCCTCAGCTCTGCCATGAGCTTTCTGTGCTTCTTCAGCAGCTAATAAAACTTTCTTCTTCATTTTCCTTAGCTAGTAGTGTGAAACAGGGATGATGATGGTACTTTCCTACCACTTGGAGTGTTCTGGGGGTGAAGCAATTGATATTTGCAAGGGACTTACTTGGGTGTGCAATGATGAAATCTGAAAAACAGTTAGAGAGTAATGTTGGAGCTACAACTGTAAAATTATCAAGCTGTTGTATCATATCACTTGCATTGCTTTTTCTGCTAGAGGCCAGTTTTTGTTCTGTGGTTTACAGTCCATTTTTATTTCCAGTGCTAGTTCGTTATGTTAAATGAAAAATTACAGCCCTCCTGAGTGATATTTTGCTCTCTCATCTGGAGCTTTCAATTGCCAAAGGCCCTATGAAAGATGGGAGGAGACGATAACCGCTGTGACAATGGACACTAGAGCATATATTAACTCACCCGTGTTAAATAGCATTCTTCTCTGGCCAAAAACTAGCACAGTATCATGGGGCTGCAGTAAACGTTATGAAAAGTACATTTGCTTATCAATAAGCATCACTGGGCATGACTGACAACTCAATTGTAGCATTGTGAATGTAGCAAGTGAATGCACTGATAGTGTCAACCAGATCTTTACTTCACAACTGTTTTCTATTGCTGTCCACTGTGGGAGAGTTTGGTGCTCCTGCTTTTATGGACGCACCTTGTGAAGAGTAGTAAAGGAAACAGTGATGCAAAACAGGGCATACAGAGAAACAGGCGGCATTCTGGAGCCCTCCTGTGCGCATGCACATGGTGTAGGCAGCTCAGGTTGCAGCACAGGGCTGTTATTGAAGAGTTTATCCCTGTGCCTTATCTCATCAGTTCTACACAGTTATCTCTCAGACTTCCACACGCTATTTCTTTCAGAATTAAGGCAGTTGGAACTTTGATTTATGAGCTTTCAATAAACAGTTACACACTTTGTAGGGAGTTCTCTATGTGGGTTATCATTTTGCTTATATTCAGAGTGGACTGTTTTTTCCCCAGTGTAATTTTGGTACTACTAATATTTCTTGTCACATTACTATTGTTATTAAAAGACAAAACTTTGGTAATAGATTGCGTGCCTCTCTTTCCTTCCTTCCATTTGAGTGTTAAATTTGTCCTTAAAATATTCTGCCATTCCTCTTATTATAGGAATAAGCCAGGACCAGCAGCAGTAATATTCCTGTAGTTCTTTTAAGTTGCTGCATTCACTTGCTACAATTTTTGTCAGACTTAAGCCACTTGTGCTGAAATTCTGTGCTTGCTTAGTTAACTGATTGGACAAAGCATCTGAAGCTAGGATTTAAATACTTAAGCCTGGGACTGGCTGTGCTTTTGCGGGTCAGGTAAAGACTGAATCTGAGAATAATTACTCAGCCTCTAAGAAAATAACAAATGATAATGAGTTTATCTTCATTGTATCCTTGTGAGGTAAAGGAATGACAATATTCCTGTTTTGTGGATGTGAAGTTATAAAATACAGGTTTCTGGAAACAGTAGAATACATATCACAAATAGTACCATATGTGTGTTGGAATGCATATATGCAAGGAAAGAACAGTAAAGTGGGAAAGATAAATTTAATTTTGGTAATTCCATAAACTTCTGATGCTGCTGTTGCAAATTTAACTGTCTTGTAAAGTAGGGATTTTATATATAGTATAGTGGACTGTGCAATGGAAATTTAAGCATATTGAAACACTAGCCTAAGTTGATGTTAAAGTATATAATCGGCATCTTTTTCTAAGGATGATACTGAATTATGCCACCTACTGCAGTAAATTTTACATTATTTCTTTGATTAATTGCGACAAAATGTTTCCTTCTTCCGACTCTCTCCAACCCTGCCTTGCATCAACAGGTGGAAGAGGTTCTGGTCCTAAAAGAACCATGGATGCTACTGTGGCAAAGAGTTGTGGCATTGCTTCACTGCAGCTGGCTGTCATGCCTCTCCTCTCAGGTATTATTCTGCTCGGGAGGGAGTGTCACACTAGGTGTATGCCACATCTCCTCCTCTGAAGTGCCTGTGCTGGTGGGTCTGCCTCATGGCAACTCTCTTGGAAGATCCCAAGGGAATTTCACATTCTGGATAAAAGCTGCCTGGTTAAGAAAGATTTGGGATTTGGTTTTGATCTGGGTGAGATTGACATATGTTCAGAGGTCTGTGTGCTCTGAAGGGCAGGATGTCAAAAATAATTCTCATTGTGGTTCTCCATCAGCTTGTGCATCTAAATTCTTGTATCCTATTTGATCTAGAATGTGTTGAAAGTGGGATATTGGTCAGAGTGGGTTAGTGCTGTGTTTTTTTCTGACTGTAACCAGATTAACATTCATTATTAATATATAGTCCCATTTTTGTGTGCAGTGAGTTAAATCTCCCCTTTGTTCTGTGCACACAGACAGAAATAGGCGTATGTCATGCAACATGGAACTTGGCTGCTGAGCAGATGGATGTGGCAAAGCTTCTTGCAGAGAAGCCAATTTGTTTAAGGGTGCTTGTTTACCTTCAATGAAGAGTTTAATTTTGGTGAAAAGTCTCTGAACTTCTTTAGTTTTTGTGAACTATTATGTGAACTGTATATTTGCTTCTATAACAGTATTTAACCCTCTGTGTTTAAAAAGGAGAAAAATCAGTGATCAGTCGTCTGGCAGAAAACAACCCTGAAATTTTAGATGCTTACATGACTTTCACTGTGGAAACACCTCTTCTGTCCGAAAGACAAAGACGTGAATTGAATCCATTGACTATAAGGATTAATTCAGCTACCTGCCTGCCAAACACACCTGTACCAATAGAAGTGCTACAGGTAACACATACTGGTACTTCTTTCTGAAATAATTTCCTTGTTACCTTCAAGTATCTTTCTTAAAATATGAGCATGGTTTTAAAGATAATTTTCCCTATTAGCAGCAAAATTGGAGAATATGACTAACATATTTCCTGAAAAACATGTGGCCAGATGCCTGTATTATCAGAGGCACTGGCAGAAAAACAACAATCCGTTTGTTTTCCAAGGGCAATAATTTATATATAGTCATCCCATTTTGATGTCTGAGTAGTGGATCTTGAGTAAGCCAGAGAAGATCTAGTCCAGTCATAGCACTATATTGTTTGCAACAACTTGCTTGACAAGTGTAGGTGTTGACGTGCTCATCAGGACAACTTCTATTGCTGTGTTAAAAGTATTATTTAACTTAAAAAAAAGCAAATGCTTCACATCTTTAAAAATGTTGTGAACAAATAGAGTTCTATATTGGTGAGAATGTAGTTTAAAGTTTTTGATCTTATACTTTTAAATTTTGGGAGATGAGTTAGAAAGTATGTTCTCTTGTCAAATAGTTGCATTTTTAGGCTTGACGAAATGCTATTATAAAGGCTTTTTTCTGAGTGTTATATACTGTTGATGTGAAAATGAAATTAAGGTCAAAAACCTTTGCTTTCAGGAGCTGTTTTGTTGATCCCTAGCTGAGGTGAAATTATAAGGGAATAGTATATGAAAGGTCTGGTTCAAGTTGCATCAGCCTCGTCCTTAACAGTAGTAGGATGTTTTATTGTTGTTGAAGTGAAAATAGTTTAATAATATGTCAGGGATTTTATAATGGCATATATAGTTCTGTGGTGGAGTTTCACACTGAAGGGTTTATAACAGACTAGGCAAATTGGCTTAGCATTTATGAAGAGAAAGAGGGGGAAAAAGTCAGTAACTGTGCAACATAAATAACAGAGACAACCACTCTGTAGTTTCTAATGCAATTCGCAGACTGACCACAGAAGTTTTGACTTTGTTTCCCTTGCCATGTGGGCTGCTCTGTGAAATAATGAACTGTTTCAAATTTGTAATTCTCAGGATAGTCCTTGACAGGTAGCCTCCACTCCATGCAGGCTGCTGTAATGTTGATGGACGCTTACATGGAGGAAGCACAGCAAGTATTGTGGAGTGAATCCCCCTGTTTGCCTCCCCAGATTTGTAAACAATTAGTTAATAATGGAGATCACAACTTCTAGCTATAGGCATTTATTTCAGGCCTCTAATCCTACAGTTGAATGCACAGGGAGAAACAAAATTGCTCTAGGAGCCATCGCAGTCCCCAACATGCTCCTCTAATGATCTAGAAACAATGAAAGGTTTTCTGGCATCTTTGAGTAGTCAACAGAGTTGAGGACAGGCAAATGAAGTATTTGGATAAAGGATGGTATATTCCCAAGACCCAGGATCCAGGAATGTAGAATTGTTTCTTTGCTACCTTGGAAGACCACAGTTTGTGCTATGGAGTACACCCCCCATACCTTCTTGACTAGAAAAGCCAATTGTTCTGTGAGGTTAAAAATAAAAAGGAAAAAGATTAATGCTGCAAATATCTGTTTCTCTTCATCTTTTTGTTCTTTAGAGATTGTGTGTTCCCACCTACTGCAAATACAAATTTCACAGCTTTCCACCTCATCAGACTCATGGACAAGTCCATGGAACTCATGTCTACTTTAAGGATGTTAATGTACTTCTAACAGGGACAATGAAACCTGGGGAATTACAGAGGTGTCTTAGAGGTCCACCTTTGGAGATTGAAGTTCATGACCGGGATAGAAATATGAATAACAACACAAAAAAGCCCTGTTTGTTTGGGGAAGATGAACCTGATGAAAAAGTGGGTAAGGTGAGCTTCCCTCCTTGCAAATCCACAATCTGTAGTTCTTCTACAAAAAACAAAGTGTGGCATCCTCATGGGGTAGCCAAAGTCAGTCTAACTGAGTTATTGTTGGGGAAAAAGTACCTGGCTATCAGTGCTCCCATTCGTAGCTGTTCAGCACCAAATACAGCTACTATCAGTGAGGAGGATAAAAAAAAGAAGATAGCAGAATCAGTGAATAGTTCTTCCCTGCTGCCTATGGGACATTATCTAGAATCAGACTCGCTTTTGAAAATAAGAGTGGAAATAGCTGTGCCGTTGGGATTGCATGCTGAAATTGCTGAAGTGACAAGTTGCCTGTATGGTTGTATAATCTACATTTTTGACTACAATAATTCACCTTTATTACACAATTTGGTGGATGAGATTACAGAAATCAATGCTAAAGCCCTCCAGCTGGACTGCTATCCTGTGCACTTAATCACAATGGCTCTTGCTGCATTAAAACTGAAAACCACGCTTGAGAAAGTTTCTGAGTTGGATATTGTTACTGGTTTTCACTTACTGGATGGAGCAACTCATCTCTTTGTCTTGGAGGGATTAAAAGACAAAGCAATCAAGAGACTATGGGATAGACACTTTGAAAGGTAGGGGATTTTACAGGTTTTAATCAGTTATTTCCTTAGTTCAGAGATTTTAGATAGAGTTATACCTCCCCCTTTCCTATCTATACAAAGATATGCATAGTTGATGCTTCCTATGCAGTTTCAGTGGATATGAGTCCCAGTGGCTGCTTTACTTGAGGCATAATCTTTTCATCTTCACCACATTACACCATAGGTCATCCATGTAAAGTTAAAATGAGAATGATGCAACATATACTTTATTTTGTTAAGCTGTACTTAGTTTGTGGAAACAGCACTATAATCTGCCATTTCTAAATAAGAACAAAATACTTAATGGGATCTAAAACAGAAGTAGTCACTATAAGAAAGCTGGACTTCAAGCCATTTCTTTGAGCTTAGAGGAGAATGTGACAAATTCCAAGTGAGTGTCTCCCTGACATTTTATGCTTAAAAAATAATGGATATTTTTTCCAGCACTGTAGCATGTTGTTAAAGCTTTCCCATGGTGGTTTGTTGTGGTTTTTTTTTGATGCAAGTCACTTCATTGCAGTTATTGAAATTATTTATTGCATGAAAAGTTGTCTCTTGTCAGCGCTCACCTGTAACCTAAATTGAAGCTTTGTTTTACTGCTGTAGTATGAATTTTGGTATTTGTAGTAGAAATATTTATATAAAGCTTTTGTAGCTGCAATAAGGCTGTTAAGGAGCACAACACTGATGAAACCGAGGTGAGCTTTTTTGAGCTTTTTTTCAAATGTTTAACATGTGGCTTAAAAAAGACAACATATGCCACTCAGTTATGCCATGAGAGTTTTGGTATTTTTTTCATAATTTTGCCCCAAAATAATTTTCCAGAACAGTTCATGTGAAGTGAAGGCCATAAGAGGTTCCATCTAGAGGACAAAAGCAGAGCAATTTAATCAGAGAGTGACTGTGCTGCAGAACTGAGGAAACCTGAGATGCGGGCTGGTTGTTTTAACCTTGTCATTGGGGTACTTTGTTACAGGACTTACAGACATGAAGATGGACAACTGGAAATACTGTATAACTCACAGCTGTCTTTCCCTGAACGCCTGTATACAGACCTGGAAGCAATCTTTTATCATTTCTGCCTCTGTCAGCCTCTCTGCACTATAACAAAACAGCCTCTGCTTTACATCAGAGGTATGGTTCCTTGGGCATGTTTCCAAGCCTTGTCCAGGTATGACTCATCCAGGTTCATGGTCGAGAAATGAAATGTTAGCAAAGTAGAGTGAATATCTGATCCAGAAAATAATGCTCTTGAATGGATATCTTTTCCCTGACAAAAGCAGTCTGTGGGCCTGTTGGGTATCTCAGATTTTAGATGAGGTGTGGTAAGACAGAAGAGCATGGGTTTCTAACTGCTGATGTAGTGGTAACTTGGTATCAGTGAGCCCACTTTTAGTTTGGGCAGGAGTTTATAATTTGTAAAGAAGAGAGGTGTGTCAGTAGGATAGTATATGAGAAAACAATTGAATATAATACAAACAGAAGGAAGATAGAAGTCCAGTGTCAGAAGGGAAGGATTTACTTCTCTGCTCTGTTCTCACAGAGGTGGTGGAGGATGGAGTAAAGGAGACTTCCAAATAGGACTTGATAGAACCAGAAAGTTACTTGAACTAAGTTGGGAATTCTAAAACCTGTTTCCCTATGGTAACTAGAGAAAGGGAAGAGTTTTGTGAGAATTGGGAGAATATGTTTTCTGTTCTGGCTTTTTGTCTGGGGGTTTTAGTGCATGATGTATTGCTGGATCTCTGCCATGTTGGCCACTTTGTCAGCATGCAGGTGTTCACAGCTGTTTGCCTTACAGCATCTCTGACATTACGTCTCGTGAGATGGATTAAAGAAAAAGAAAGTGAGTGAAGTTGTATGTGCATACATCTCTCTATATATATTTTACTAATCTATGAAAAAGTTTCTATGTGTGATTTTTTTTGTTTGTTTGTTTATAAAATAAGACACATCTAATGAGAGGTGGAAAAAGTACCATCCATCTTTGATATGAGCAACTTGGGTTTAGAAAGCAGAGAGAAACTGCGACTGCTTACTTTCTTGCTGGAAATAGACTGGCTTGTTTAGATTAACTTCCGAACCAAAATTCTGCAAAGCTTATTTGAAATGAGTGGGGACATTCAGTTCTGAGATAGAGTGAATGTCTCCTAGACACCAATCTCATTTTATAAAAAGTTCTTGAAAATGTGCAATAATATACACACAATCTCGTAGCAGCCTTCCCCCACATGTTTGCTTTTTGGTAAAACATATTCAGTAATGTGTGTTACATATGGATCACCCATCTACTACAAGTTTTATTTTGCATATGTCAAAGCAGTTGCTGAAAAAATGAATGCAGTACACCTCTGATCTAGCAGGCAGGGTTTGTATACCTGTCTGTTTCTGCTTGTTGTCTGACCCATTCAAGTTCAAGAACTGTTTATTTGATGATTGCTAATTAAACTTAACTTCATTAAGCTAATGAAGAGCCAGGCATTTACACTTAAAGTTCTGAAGTATATTCATTCTAATGATCTGCATGTAACTTGGGTACCTCTTCACATATCTGTAATTTGTTTCATGCTTATTCTGTGAGATAGTGAAAAGAACACAATATGAAGGTTACTGGTGGCCATCACTGTGATGTCCTTAGAAGTTCTTTTTTCTTTTTATTTTTTTCTTTGATGATGGCTGGTAAATACCTTTCTTCCTTAAGCAATGTGTTGACAATATTTGAGGTAGAAAATAACATAATACTGCACATTTTAGATACTGGGTAGTTAATTTTATTGTAGTACCTCCTGTGTAAAAAAAAGAAAATTAAATCAGCAGGTTGGCTGCTGTGCACAACTTGCTAGATAGCTGCAGCTCAGGTTCCTGCAGTGAAAGTGAAGGTTTTGGGATGGTTGGGATGATTTTAAATGCAGAGGATTGTTTTTCCACTGGAGAGAAGTGAAGCTGCGGGAATGATTACTATACTTCGTAGCACTCATTGCTATAAAGTAGAGAGAACCTCAGTAAAGGCATCTTTAGTGGCTGAGGCAATGTCTGTCTAGACACCCGCTCTCTTCAGCAGCTCACCACCCAGATGAGAGAATCATGTCTGCCAGGCTTTGGGTGTTAGTCCTTTCTGCCATACCCTCCTTCTGCTGTGTCTGTAATTATTCAGAGAAATACAAATAAATTCTTCACTGGAGTATACAGACTGTGAACTGTGTTCAAGAGAAGTCTCTAACTTGTAGAACTCCTGGGGGTTTTTTAGTTTTTGGTTTGCTGTAGTCAGTCAGTGGTTCAATGTATGCACAACAGAAACTGCTGCTTCTTGATGCGTTTCCTTCTGCTAAAATTAGGCAAGAAAGTAATTGTAGAAAAGCTAATGTATGTGGTCCATATGCACAGCATCCAATTTATTTTTTAACATACCAATATAAACCCAATTTGTGTCATTAATGCTGGTGCAACTTTGAAATTAATCTTAGTTATCAGTTGCATGATATGTTCAGAAGTAATGGTAAGAAAATAATGTTCTTTTACAGTACTTTATAAAGTTACTCTCCTCAAATAAAGAATAGCTATGTGATAAATGAATTAACAGATTTCCAATTCTGGCAAGGAATCATAATACAATGTTTGGCTATCAGGTACATCACTTTATTTCATGGCCTCTGCCATGGCCTGAGCCAGGGAAGCGGAGGATTGAATTAAGTGCATGAGTATAAAGTGTGTGCCTGGTGCTCAATAGCTGACATATATTTAGGACTGCTTTTGTGTTGAGACTAGTCTTTTCAGGGCAAATTTAGTGAATTAAATCAGACGTGAGGTAAGCGCTCTTATAAATGGCATATAGAATAAAAGTTGATCAGAATGAGACATGAAATAGAGATAAGGCAGGGTGGGTGTTGGTGGGTGTTCAAGAAAAATATGGGTCATCCACTAGAACCAGTGTGCACGAAGGAGTTTGGTTTATTGCCTTTCAAGCAGAGGCTAGAGAAATTCAGCAACTAATCACGGACTTGAAGCTAAATCGAGCACCAGCAACATTCCTAGGTTTATTAAGCTGCTAAACTTCTTTATTGCTGCTAAATGCCAATGTACATGAACTGACCTGAACTTCTTAATAAATAGATGTTTCAAGAAGGTTGTATAGTTTTTCCACAGTAATATTAACTGTAATGATTTGATTGGAGTGAAGTTTTTTGTAAACTAATAAAATGTTGATGTCTGTTTGTAGGCTCAGTTACCTCTGTCACAGTAAGAGGTTGAGGGATGTAATTCATGGGGATCTGCTGCCCTCAGCAGAAATGATCTCAGTCTTGAGTCACGAGTATGGAGTTCCCGTAACCGATGAGGATCTCTTCACTAGGAAACCTCCTTTACCCTCATTTTCCTCTGATGACTGTGCAGTACCAGGAAAAGTTATCAGAGTGAAACAGGCAGTATATTCTTCATTAGATAACTATAATGAAGTGTATGTGCAGCAGAAGAAAGAAATAGCAGACAAAAAGTCTTTTGAGAGAAACCATATTGAGGTGAGTAGTTTGTGATATGCAAGAGGCAACCCTCAGAGTCCTTCATTAACATGTCCTTCATCTCCCAAAACAATGACTTATTAGACTTACAAACTTTCGGTAGGGTGTTTGTAGGTATTGTACAAACATAAAAAAGTGCACGCTAATTTTATTTTGAAAAAGTTGAATTGCAAATGTAAGTGCTTCTCAAAGGGAAAGACAAGTCTATGCTCACGGGTAAACAGAGGAGACGGTGTGTGAGTGGGAAGGAAACCAATTGATTAAAGAACTTGTAATTTCTTTTGGGGTTGGTTCCTACTTTTCATTATCTCTTTCTTCTCCATAGCCCCCTCATTGTGCTTCAGCATGTCATGCAGGCTTCAGATGCTTGTGGTGGGCCAAGTCAGCTAAGCTCACACATGAAAACTGCTTTTTTCTTTTGCGTGTGAAAGACCTGCTTGCCTTCGGGCAACCATGATGGCATTTATTCTTAACTAAATAAAATCAGCAGTTTCAGACAGATCTGAGCTGAGCTTTTAGGAAATGGTGAAGAACTTTAGAACCTCTTCTCACTTGTAACCAAGTGTCAATCCACCCCTTCTGTTGCCTCAGGGAAAACATGTTGAAACTAAACCCTTTTCTGTTAACACAGACATCAAAGAAGGGGTGTCCAGCATGTTTTCTGGGAGTCTGAATTGGGTTTTGGAATATATTGCTTAGTTGAGGACTCTAGCCATCCTGTGGTTTGTGAAGAATAGTTCTGAATGTTTTTTCCTGTGTATATTTTAATACAAAGAGGTTTTGCCTGATGTATGGAAATCTGTGTTCCTGTGTAAGGGTACTGTCCTGGAGATACTGAAAGAAATGTAACTCCTAAGTACTTCCTTTCTCAGTCTTAGTCTGTTGATAAAGGATTATTATGTGAGGCTAGAAAAAGAGACAGTCTTAAGTAATTGTTCCTGGTACTTGCATTTAAGTAGATTAAGTGTAGAGTTATTTTATTACATGTACAAAGTTAGCAGTCTTCTCAATGTACGTCTTTTGACCAGTTTTTGTTTTCTATATGCTTCTGAATCAAGAGGGTAATAGAGGAACTGGGAAGTCCTCTATAGAAAAAAAAAAAAAATTAATAGCAGGTAAGGTAACCTTTCAAGCTTTTTGATTTAAAAAAAAAAAAAAAAGTTGATGTCACAGTGAAGTGACATCCAAAATGCAATTTTCCCCTCTTGCTGTAATTACCTGTTACGGCAGAGTCTGTATTCAAAGCCATAATTACCATCAACACAGTAGAATGGTGTTCTTAAGTCAGTGAATAGGTATGAGGGTCAGTAGAGAAATATGAGGAATTCTAAAAAATGGTGTTTCCCACATCACTGTATTTGCTGGGGTGTTAATGGAATGATAGAAATTAAAGAACTAATCTTATTTCATTTGAAGACACCTAGCAGCAGCTCTGCAGAACAACTATTTAGATCTGTAACTAGAAGTCATGCTCACCATGGTGAGTGCTTGCATCCAGTCTGCTGCCATTAGTCTTGCAGAATATCACATGCAAGGTGAAATGGTGCTATTTTTTTTTTTAATAGAGTCTTTTTCTGGACTATTTTATTAACAAAGAACTGTGGTGTAATAAAACTATATATAGGTTTTTTATGGGGTTTTTTTTTGTTTTATTAAAGTTTTATTTTAAAGTTTACATATTTAAATTTTTTGTCTTTTTTTGTAACATTGAACTCACAGTTCAGACAAGAACTCCATGTAATGTCTCTTTGCAGGCTAACATTGATGCTATATGTCAACTCAAAGGAAAGCTGAAAAAGCCAAAGTTTGAAGTTTTCAGGATTTCTCCTATTGATGGCAAATCTGTCTTCAACTACAGCTCTCAGAGACTGAATTCTGCAGAACTTGCAAAGCAGCATCTTCGTCAGGAAATGGCAAAGGCAAATTGAGACACGTAACTGGAAGATCTTGGTCTATATAGTGCTTTAAAAAGAGAGATGAATTAAATAGTTTTACACTAGTAACTCCCGTGTTAGCCCACAGAAAGGGAAGTTGGGATCCCAAAGGATCTCAGCCTGAGCAGTAGTCTTTGCTGTGTAAAATTCTGTTCTTCATGCCATTCGTTATAGTCAAGTTGTCTTGTCTCCACAGCTGGGGCTCAGTGCAGACAGGGATGGCCTAGGTGGTCACTTCTAGCTCTGTGTCCCACACATATGCAAGTGGGAGCATTTGAGTAATTGCAGTGTTGATGTATGCAGTATTAAGTGATTTGAAGAATCACATTTATCTGCTTTTGTCTGAATAGCTGGCTTGAATCTTACTAACAAATGCTATTTTCCTGTCAGCAAGTGGAAATTATTGTAGCTCTGTGAATGCTGTTCATGATGTGCCATGAACACAGTATAAACTACAGTTCTCTTTTTGTGCAAATGGTATTAAAGATATTTCTTTCTGTAATTATTTTACAGAGATCCTATTATACCACTTGTCATTAAATCCATAATTAGATCATAATAGAATGAAATTTAAAATCTTTGGGTTTAATATTTAATGATACATATTTTGTATAGTTTTGACTTGCTGTCTTAAGGAAAGAAATTATAGTGGCTCCTTTCCCAGCAAAGGGGAATTCACAATTACAAAATTTTTTTTTTTTTTTTTTTTTGTAGGAACCAAAGAACAGATTCACTTATTGTCACAAGTATCTGTCAGCCACATTTGACCCAGTGGATGTGGCTGCTGCCTGTAAGGAATTCTTTGCAAAATCCAAGAGTATGTGGCTGTCACCAGATGGATTTGTATTTCCTGGATTTAAGAGCAGCATTGAAAGCAACCTGCACCCTCAGATGCCTGATGAGGCACGTTTGGAGGAGCTAAGTGAGGTAACAGAAAACTTAAACGAACAGTCCTGAGTGAACTCAAGCATTTTAGGAGACCTGAAAGAGACAGACTGCTGTAACATGTGGAGGTCTCTTTTGAGGGTGACATCTGTATTTGCAATTTGGGTACATCAGCACCTAGCTCACTCAGGTGATAATTTGTTTATCACAAATACTACCCTGAACCCATTTGCCAGTATTAATTGGATATTAATAGGTAATAATGGACCATAGAGTGCTTTGTTTTACATTTATAGGTGGGGTCTAGTGTCAGAAAAATCATATTATTGCACTCTGGATGGGTTCCAGGCTGTTCTTCATGAGTTGTCAATCTAGTTGTAGCCTTCCTTCATGTTTCCAAGCTGGAAGAGGGACAGCAGGCTTACAGAGCAGCAGCTGCTGGCAGTGAGTTACTGAGCTGAAATCAGTGGGGCAGTGTGATATTCGGTGTGGGAGTAGCAGCTGATGGTTGTATTGACCATTGGCACCTCCTGATGGGATGAGAGAGGGAGGAGAGCTGACTTCTTGCCCCAGACGACCCTAAGTGTAACCCAGCAGCACCAACAGCTGTGTAGCACCAGTGTGAGCCATGGAGCTGAGAGAGAAGAGGAAGGAGGCTCCTTCTGCTCAAGCAGGGACCTCACGGGTATGGCCAGCATTGTACTGGATAATGGAGACTGATTCTGAGCTTACCATTCATGTTACCTGAATGGAAGGACAAAAGCAGAAAACTGTTAGGATGCCATTCTGAAGCAGTCTGGGTTTGATCCATGACCTCTTTAACCATTCTGGGTTTCTTCTCAAACATGGAATTTGACCGTCTTTTGTAACACCATCCCTTAGGAGGCAAAAAAGTTTGTGGTGTTCTTCTGGTTTCCTGAAATATCTCCATTCAGTTTCTGCACTGACTCAGCTGTCCTTTAACTGTACAGTTTTAGGTAAAACAGTGGAAGGACAGGGCTAACAACAGACAGTGAATCTTAATTTGTAGTTGAGAAAGGACAGTTTTATCTGAAAAAAAATCAAACTGGTATTTCAGCAGTGGGTAGTCAGAGGACAGCAAAAAGTTGAACTCTGTTTCACAGTTGTGATGATGAATGTTCCTGCCGTGATTCCAGGGCACGTGCTGCTTCCCTCGCCTGCCTCCTTGGGACTCCTGGGCTCTTGGCCCCAAGAGCTGAATAGTAATGATTGTATTTTTAGAAGCATTAGGACAGCTTCTGCTTTCTAAAAGCACTGTGCTTTAAGATTATCCTTGAGATGATCTGTAGCTCTCACCGTCGTGGCGATCCTGTACAGCCAGCCCACTTCTTACCACTGGGAAAAGATAAATAACTAATGAGGTTTTGGAGTGGGTCTGTCTCAGTCTCATTGTGTGGAGGAGGACACTGACACCAAGTCACATGGACAAGAGGGATGGTCCGAGTTTGCCTGCGAGTTTAGCAGCTGTGCCTGAAATACAGAAAAGTGCATCAGATCCTTTATATCACTGCAGAGAAATGTGACAGAACTATGAAATTGAATCCCCTGCCAGGTATTTTTCAAGTATATAGCAAATGCCTGCATGTTAGATAACAGCTCAGTACTGGAGTATCAGCATCTTGCTCACGAAATGGATTTTTGTTCTTATGCATCAAACACAACAAATTGGAAGGCTGCTTACAGAGAGATAGTCTTGTGTAGTGACTTTGGTAAGATCCTATTAAGGTAGTTGTTAGATTGCTACCCAAGAATCTGGCTAACTTATTTTTTGTGACTGCTCCCTGGTGATTTTGGTCTGGCTTCTTAAAGTGATTCAATTTTTGTTTAGAAATGGCAGGAGAATGTTCTGCATGCTAACATGGAGCCAGTGCTGTCACGAGACAGATGGAGCTGGGACAGACGGCACATTGATTTTGATCTTTACAAGAAGCCACCTGAGCTCTTCACGACAGCAGCCCCGCAGACTGGTAATGGATCTGTTAAAATTAACTAATCTCAAAGCTTTTAACTTGAAGCTCTGACATGTGGTCCCAAAGCTTGTTCAGTTCTGCCATTGAGAAAGGGAGTTTGAATGCAAAGAGGTTTTAGCAAGGAGATTCATATCCAGCAAAACTTTGTACTCTCGTGAATGAAGCATCTTCAGGTGTCAGATCTTGGCCATACCCCAGTTTCACCCCTCCATTTACCCAGCTTCTTAGCCTTAGTTCCTTTGTCTATAGTAAAGAATGACAGGGAAGTACAGAGCCTTCTCTGCGGGTGCTGCTGTAAAGTCACCTTTGGTGGCTGCCTGTTCTTCCTTTGCACAGGTTGATGACAATCAGCTTTAGTTACCAAGGTCAGACAAAAAGCTGCCTCGCAGACCGTGAGCAACACCAGATGATTGGGCCAGAGACGAGACGGTTAAATCTGCAGCCTGCAGCGTGCCTTGGGGAGGCGGTCAGAGAACAACCTCCTGTTCTCCCACAGGCAGCAACAAAGTTGTATTTCGTTATGAAACAGTATTTTGAAAAACTTGCCATGTGTTTCTTTTTTGCCCAGAACCAACTGAGATTCGCTGGAATGTTTACAGTCAGAAAATAATAGATTTATTGTGGTTGTTACACTTTTTCATCTTTTACAACTTTTCTGTGGCACATTACCCTGTAACTTGCAAAGCACTTGGTTAGTGCAGTTTGTCTTAAGTGTTTCTTACAGAGAAATGCTTTTGGAAGCAGTAAGAATTAATTCATTCATGTGTGTTTTACGGAGCCTACAGGGCAGTGAATGGTCTCTGCTGTGGGCACTAGCCTTTACTCTTAACACCGGTATAATTTCTTCTAGTGGAATCCTTGTGAGAAACGTTATTTGCAAGAGAGGCTTTTAGCCCACCTTTTTTTTTAGTTTGAACAGCCAAAACTTGTCTTTTCTATCTAACTGGTTTCTATTGCCTGTTTGTTTGTTGGTTTTTTTTTTTTGTTACAATCTGTTGTTGGCCTTGTGAAGATGCTACTCGGATTCTGAAAACTCAGTTTGGTGATGCCAGGCCGAAAGCTCACCAGCACTCCACAGCAGCTGAGTTACCCACAGGTGGGCGAAGAGCCAGGTTTCAGCTACGGAAAGACGAACCTCTGAAATCCTCTCAGGATGGCAGGACCAGTTTTGAAAGTAAAGGGTGACTCTGAGTCCTGATGACCCTGGCACCTACCTTTGCACAGCAACAGCTGTCCTGCACTTTGTGGAAGGCATGTGACACTCTTAGCACAATACTTTTGGAAGTAAAAATATTTCTTAAAATTGGTGTTGATAGCGCTGACTCAGTCTTAGAAAGCTCTTGGAAAAAGGTATCAGCCTGGCTGTAAAATGATTTATTTTCTTTTCAGTTCTTTGCTTTGATGCTCAGAGATAATGGAGGAAGAGGGGGAATTTCTGTTCAATTAACTAACTTGCCTGTCAGTGTGCAGTGGGTGAGAAAAGAAGAACAATTTTTGGCCAGCTGGCTTAGCAGCTCTGAAAGAAATTGTAATGTCCCCTAATGAAATGGCAGGGTCGAGGCACTTCTATAGATGAGGTGCCAAATGTCTCCCCCTGTGTTCTCTCGATTACCATAGTGCTGTATGGACTTCCCCAGCGTTGCACTTCAGCCTCTTGGTGCCGAAATCCCACACAGACACCCCAGTTTGCAAGACTAAAGGATTTGTGCTCATTAATGTGAAAAGCTGTATGGGTGGCCTGCACCTAACTGTTCTTTTGTTGGTGGAATCCTAGCCAGTGTTCACATCCAAATGACTGACACAAACCCGGGGTGTGCAAAAAGCTGATTTTGATCAAAGGGACCAAAGCTCACTGTTGGCTACAAATGCTCTAGAAAAACAAACAGGAACTACGAGAATGTTGGTAACAAAAGCAGAGTTAAATCTTTGAGACCAACTCACTGCCAACAACAACACCCCCCCCCCCCCCC